TATCACTAGTATCAATTAACTTATATATTAACACCCAAACTTACACATACTCTGTTTTAACTATCTAAATCTTGATTAGCTTAGAGATCGGAGTAGGAGTTACAAGTTACAACAACTATTAATTGGTAAATTGACCAATCAGGGTTTTGTTAAAGCAAAGGTTGGTGAAGTGTGCTTCAAAACATCATTAAGTATTTTGTCGGGACATAATTTCATTTCTCTAAACCAAGCTTTTATATTTAGTTATCGCATATTAAGTATATATTATACAATACTATTCTACTTATAATAAAGTTAAGACGTATAAATGACTCGTTGGAATCACTATTATAGCATGCTGTTTAGTATATTATTACGCATTTTTAGTAAAATCGTAAAGCTTAAACTACGTTGATTCCGCTTAACTACGAAATTTCTATACTAATCAAACGTAAAATATATATGTAGTTGCACATTGGAAGATTCAATTATTGCATAAGGCTGCTTTTCTCATTATTTATTGTAATTTTTTTTTAGAAAAAATAAATTTGAATAATCCTATTTTTGTTACATTATGTTTGAATGGACCAAAATTGATAGGAAAATTCAATAAAGGGATCGTTGGACATAAAAACATCGTGGAGCCTAAGAAGCCTAACATTTAGTACGTGAAACCCACATGGACTAACATGTTGCATTTCCCTAAGATATTAATTTATAATTTTTACATATAATATACGCATAATGTTTACATTGACACATTTTTTTCAAAAGAATAGATGAAGTTTTTGGTCAACACAAGTTTGGTTGCGTCAATCAAATCCGAAAGTTTGAAGGTAAAAAAGTAGAGCCAAAACATAGTGATTAACTTCTTTTTTGTTCTTGACTTTTATGGTCACTTGCTAGCTAGTTCATGTTTTTGGTGAGTATCGTTTTAAATTCGTGCTATAACAAGAAGTCCTTTATGAAAACTGTCAAGATCGCAAGTAGGGATGTTAAATAGGGGGTTTTGGTCCGGTTCAGTCGGTCTGATCCTGTTTATTTTTGGTTCGGTCCTGAATGAACCCTAATCCTTTTTGAGTCTTGAAAAATTTGTATATTAAAGTTAAGCTTGGTTTAGCCCTCTAACCTTTCAATTAGTATAATGTTAAAAGTTTTTATTTAATTATTTGTAATAACTAATGTGAATTTTCTATCTATCACAATTTGTAAAAATTTAGATAATGTGCTTTGTGTTTTGACGGAAAAATGTGATTTTGCATTTTTGGCGAGAAAAGCTGCTTTTGCGTTTTTCACGGGAAAATCTGATTTGCAGTTTTGACGGAGAAATGTGATTTTGTTTTTTTTTTGCGGGAAAATCTGATTTTGCATTTTTGGCCAGAAAACATGAATTTGTATTTATGGCGCGAAATCTGATTTTTTTTTTTTGCGTTTTTGACGGATAAATCTGATTTTGTTTTTTTAGGGAAAATCTGATTTTTTGTTTTTGGCGGGAAAATATAATTTTGCGGTTTTGGCGAAAATTTTGATTTTGCGTTTTTGGCGGAAAATGTGATTTTGCGTTTTGGGCGGAAAATATGATTTTGAGGTTTTGACGAAAAATATGACTTTGCGGTTTAGTGGGAAAATCTGATTTTATGTTTGGCAGAAAAATGTGATATTTTAGTTACGTCGAAAAATATAATTTCAGAAATGTTATATATTAGAATGTCTTACTAATAGGATCAGCTCTGTTTTAACTTTTAACCCTTAATTTTCTTTTAAAAATCCTATATCCTAAAATCTCTTTAGTTGTATAATTAGGGTTAGGACTTTTATATATTTAAGCAGACTAGGACCAGCCCTAAATTTTGAGCCCTTTTTAACATCCCTAATCGTAAGTCGATATGACTTTTCTTTTGGATAAACACCTCAAATTGATTGCACATTCAATAGTAGTAATACAACAACGACTACTTATTTGGTCGAAAGACATTTTTTTCGTTTGTAACAGTTATGAGTTTAAACTCACATTGCAAATGGAGTAAACTATCAAAATGAGATATTTTAATTATGTAGTCAAATTTACCTAATTGAAAGATAATAACATACGACCATGGTTAAACAATTTTATATGTTAATGTAGTTAACGTTTTTATTAAAGCATTGGTTGCCTATGTCTTAATAAGTCTCCACCTTTAGATATACGCATTAGATACAAGAAGATGTCCAACACAAGGATTTTATCAGGTAAAATAATTAATTAATAATGTGTATTAAGCTAAGAAATATATTTTAGTTAAGGATTTCGGATATTGGTTCTTAGTGTAAGGTGTAAGCATTTGATTGGTTTGAGTTTTATACTTTAAATTTATATTTGCTTTTTAAAGCAAACTTTTTTAAAATAATCTTAAGAACTTTAAATTTAGAACTCTACCATTGAAAGTATATTTTTTTTTTCATCTTCAGAAATTTTGTAACTTCAGCTTTTGTACTTTCTATAATTATAATAATGCTAAAAAACTTGTTTACAATTTTAGCATTGGAGATGGTATAAGGCGTGGTGCAGTTCTTGTCCTAAGTTCTTCCAAACATCTCATTCAAACAAAACAACAAAAGACATGCATATGCACTCAAAATCAAAATGTTAGATGCTTTTTTGTTAACTATATCTATATCTTATCTTATTAATTATGCGCTAATTATGGATTTGTTTTGTGCAAATCTACAATATATAAGTTTTTGATGCCTAGAGTAACATTATTTTCCATGTATCACCAATGTAAATAATATTTTCCCTGGTATAACTATTTTTTTTTTATCTTTACTTCAATTGGAATGTGTTTAATACTTAAAACATTTCATTGAAGTAGAGGATAAAACAACCATGTTATTACAAAAATAATCAATGTGATGTGAAGCTTAGGCAACCAATGCTTTAACAATCACATACTCAGTTGTCCCCATAAAGGACAAGAAAACAAAAAAAAAAATAGTATGAAATTTTGATTGATATGTTTTTCCCCTTTATCATAACTTGGATTTAAATCCGATATATTTAAAATTTAGAAAATAAGGGAATATATATATTACCCTCATTGTATGGCTTTAAATATAAAAAATTTGCATTTATTTGTGTTTTGTTTAAAATGTCTAAATCATAAGAAAAAAAAAATTAAGCTAATTGTATTCTTTCCGCTATTTCACAAAAAGTGTCACTATATCACCTTTTACATAAATTAAACAAATATATAAATATAATTTATATCATTATTAATACAAAATACAGTTTATCTTAATAAGTAATAAGCTGAATAATAGTAAAAATAAAATTTTAATTTAAAAATAATATTTCTATATAAAGTAGTGTTGGAATGATATTTGTTTTTGGAAGTTGGATGATAAAACATTGTTTAGTTAGTTATTATTTTTTCTTTGTTGTTAAAATGTCAAACAAGGTTCATCAGTAGACTTTTGTACTAATTTAATACTAATTAATTAGTAGACTTTTTGTATGTTATACAAAACAATATAAAGGACGTAATTAAGTACCTTTTGTGTCCCGGTGGTAATCATGATTTTAGAATCTAAGGAGGCTTAATCTGAGATCTTAAGCAACCACATGGGACATGCATGGCGTTTTACATCAAGTATACAAAATCTCAAGCTTCCGAAACATAGGAGTTGAATTAGGAAGTAGACCAAACTTATCATGACTACTTTTTATTTTGGTGTAATCGATTGCGAAACCGAACAAGTCCATGATTAAAAAAAAAAACAACTAAACCCGATTTCACAAGTTTTATAATAGTTTTATTTTCTATAATTTTAATTTCAAAGTATTGTAAAAATATTATTTACATATCAACTGATCATTTAACCGTCTTTTTTTTGTAGATCATATCGATTGATCCAGTCAATTTCGCTAAGAGCAAACCTAAAAATTCCTATCGTTTTTTTTCACATTAACTTTTTTTGCCAACCAAAATCTAAATAGGAGAAGACCTAAACTAAAACTGCCTCTTGCTACTACTGTCTGCAGCAATGTGTACACACTGATTCAATTAGAGCAACTCATCTAAATTGATCATGATCAAAATTACTATACACAAACATATTTATTCTGTTGACATATCATACATGACATAAAGTAAGGTTCGCAATCTTGAATGTAAATGTAAGATAGCTAAGGTTTAGTTTTTCTTAGTCTTTGTCTTAAGATGATCGATCAAAACTAACTACAAATTTGTTGGATCAATTCTAGATCTTTCTATTAATCGAAAGTTGGATAAAATCGTAAAATAGTCTAATGAAATGAAAATAGAAAGTCAATGTCATCACATGGTATTGCCTTTTAGTGACATGCACATAAAGGGCCACATTGTTAGCTCAACATGGAACACTTCTCTTAAATCCCACTTCAACTTCAACACCAGCTTTGGGAACATTCAGCTTTCTTCATCTATTTCTCCATTTAATAAATCCAAAAACCCCCTCAACCATTATCTTCAGCATAACTATATTATATACATTTTCAATGATTAATATATATATATATATATATATATATATATATATATATATATATATATATATTAATTTAATTCGGGTCTTTTCGTTAGTAACATATTTTGCTATATATAAAACTAAATATGTAAAAACTTATATGATTTTATATATCTACACTTGGTTTAAAATTTCAAATGGCCAAATATGTGCCTTTAGTAAAACAAGTTGTTTAGTTACTTAACTAAAGTAATAGAAGAAAAAACCCATTTAGAACTTAATATATTCATTTTTTACATCTAGGTGACTATGTAAATGAGATTTTTTAAAATATAATTTTATTTAGAAAGGTTTTGGACTTTGCTTAGAGGTTATTAAAGATTCAAATCTCTTTCTCACCCATTACATCATTGTCTAGGTTTATTACTCTCTTCTCTCTCTCAGCCCTTGTGGTCCTTGACCTCTTTATATCTCTCTTATCACTTTCTCATTTTTCTTTATATCTCTAACTGTCTCTACAACCCGAAACACTTTCTTACAATTTTCTCATTTTGTTTGCTCTTCTTTCACACTTCTTCAAACACAATATACAAACTATTTGTGGATTTTAACATAAACCCTCTATAAAGCTTCCCTTACTTAAGCTTCCCTCTTCTCTACTATCCAATCAAGAATCAGAGAGAAGGCATTAAAGGTCATTTTCTTGCGGCATTGTAGTGTTACAAAAACTAAAGTCAAGAAAATGTCTAACAGAAGATCTAGACAATCTTCGAGTGCTTCGAGGATCTCCGATGACCAGATTATCGACCTCGTTAGTAAGCTCCGTCAGTTTTTGCCGGAGATTCGCGAACGACGTCGTTCTGATAAGGTAATACTCTCAAAATGCATTCATGTTGAACACCTCTTCATACATAAAACAATTAGAAAAATAGGATATAAATCAAAACAAGAAACCAAAATTTGACTCTTGACAACCTTTTTGGTTTCCATTTTGACAAAACAAAAACATCCACAAAGTCATGTTTTGTGATGCCCGTACATTTATTTTATATATACATGGTCTACTAGTAAAATAAAATCTTATAGGCACATGGCTATTCATGATTGTGCTTTAATATTCGCGACTATAGTGTCGTAACTTAAAATATTCAAGGTTTTTTTTAGAAAAATCACTTTATAGCCACAAATTTTCGCGACTGCCAAATATCTGTAAGTATTTTTTTTACTATTATGTTTGTTGAATCCTTACGTTATTATTTGCTAAAAATTAGGTGTCAGCAACGAAGGTACTTCAAGAGACATGCAACTACATAAGAAGATTGCATAGAGAAGTAGACAACCTCAGTGATCGTTTGTCTCAGCTTCTCGAGTCCGTTGATGAAGATAGCCCTGAAGCTGCGGTGATTAGAAGCTTACTCATGTAACCTTCCACAATATATATATTTATCATGATTATAACATCTTAATATATATATATATATATATTTATTAATTTATATATGTAATCTTGATCGTCCTTAATATATACTATCAAGTGACGTGTTTTTTTTAGCTTTTATGAACTTATTATGAGTTTTGGTCCAACAGTTACATTACTTCCATAGTCAGTATTCATAAATAATAATGAAATATAATAATGGTTATATACTTTATCCATTTCTTATAAAAAGATTTTTACAAAATTATTATATGTTTTTGTAAGCACCGGCTCATATTTATTGAGTATGACGTTGACGAAGTAATGAGAGGTATCTACATTTTAAAACAATGATAATGATACTTAATGTATGAAAGCTAATGAGCATGAGTGTGCATATGAGAATGTCCGACAAATCTTTTTGGTGTATGAGTTGCCACGTAACTACGTTAATATGTTAAAGATGTACCATGAAGACCTTTTAGTTTCTTCTACTTTTGATTAAACCAATTCCCAAACCAATTTAACTGAACAAAAGCAATTTAAACCAACGAAACTAGCTTAAGAATAAATAGAAAACAATCCAATAAACCAGCAATTATCCTAATAAACCAGCATGCTAGGAGGTTCCATAATCTAACAACCTAACAGTCATAAAAAAGACATATCAATCATCGAGTCCTTAGATAATCCTTGTCCCACTGCCTCGATTCCACAGTCACATTTGGTTTTTACCTGCATCACAAACAAAAGATGCATAAATATTGTCAATACTTAGTAAGACGATCCTCCCATCTACGAGCTATATATACACACAAGAAATGAGATAACAACCACATATATAACATATACAAACCAACTACAAATTATCACAAAACAAGTAACTCAATCATAATCGCTTAGAGAAGCTCATGATCACGCACTCACCTTAAAAAGGTGACTTGAACAACAAAAACAATAAGGAAAGACTCTCTTTGCGAGAGTAACAGCCTAGCAACATCCTACAACAAGCCACACAAACAAAAATCCCCTTGAACCAAACTGGACTGAAACAGTAGAAAAATACAGCCACAAAAACAAAGCCCAAAAACGGAAACCAACAGTTAAATTTAGAATCCCTTCGATGGCAAGCACAACCTAGACGTCACGAAGCTTTTCAAAAAGTTTTGTGCCAATCAGATAAAAGATGCAACCACGATCGCACTTACAATCTCCGTTGGTCTAAGTTCGTGACAGAAAAAAAGTGTCTCACGAAACTGCAGATAACTTATAGAATTTTAATCCAAATTAACTTCTGTAAAAAGGAGAATCAACGTACACGCCTTAAAAACAATCCTACCAAATTTCATTACCTTTGGATAATATCTGATACACTGTAACGCCTTTCTCCCTTTGGATAATATTTGACTTAATCACTTTCTCCTTGTACCTTGATTCTACATTTTACATGTGCTAATTTAGGTTAAAACTCTGTGAGTTATATACAGTTTCGTAAAACACTTTTTGTCAGACGCGAATTGGGACCAGCAGAGGTTGAAAGTATGATCTAGTCTCATTTGTTACATGATCGACACGAAAGTGTGTGGGAAACTACGTGCACATCCAGGGTTGTCTTTCCACCGTAGGGATTTTAAAGTTAACAAAGCTTCGTTTGTAAGACTGTATTTTTCTGTTGTTTCTGTCAAAACAAAATTATCATTCAAGCAAACTAGACAGAAAAGTAGAAAAATACAGTCTCAGAGATGAAACCATAAAACGAAAACCAACCCTTAACTTTCAAATCTATTTAGTGGAAAACACGCTATGAAAAAGCATATTTTGTGATGATTTAAAGTATCAGACGAGATCAAGATCACACTTTCAACCTCTGCTCGTCCCAGTTTGCGTATGAGAAAAAATGTCTCAGGAAACTACAAATAACTTTCAGAGTTTTAACCCAAATTTCATTACCGTAAAAAGGAGAACGTCCAATGCACAAGACTTAGGTACAATGCTATAAAATTTCATTATCTTTGAGTATGATTTGATATGTTCAACCCTTTCCTGCCAAAACCTAATGATAATACTTCCTCCTTAATCTCCTTCACACCACACTAAGCTTCTCTCTCGTTCTCTCTTTCTCTCTAGAAAGAAAAAAATCTACTAGGACAACAAAAGAGGTTAGGTCGAGCCTTCTAAAGAGGATGGCCCTTATACCTCGTTCACAAGCCGTCACTTACTTTGAATTCTTGAAAACGTGATCCTGCTAGGTCGTCCCTATGGTCCGTTGAGAAACGCATCATAAAAACTCCATACTCACACTATTTATGCATCAAGACTTAGCACAGATTCATGACTGGTTGTACAGTTTCTTGGTCATAAAGCAACATCCATAACTTCTTGTGTTTAACTCCGATTAAAGTTCCATCAATTGCTATGGATTCTCCACTGCACAATCTTTACATAGACACCTTACCTATGCTCTGATTTCCTCTGTAATTTCGCTAGATATTAACCTTATACGATGGCCTCTTTCTCCTTTCTAGGGTTCTCTCGAAGGATGGCTCGTCCCTCTTTCTCTACCTAAAACCTTATTGTTAACTCTCTTTCTCCTTGGCTCATACTTTCATCGACTCTTAGGTTTTACTTGTTCAGAGATTTTGCCTAAAGCGGCTCCTTGAAAAAGGAGAAACTGACCCAATATATACAGTAATGTATATTGCAAACGTAATCAAAACAAAACCCTTTCGTAGTTTCGTGGCTTTGATATATTTGGGCTCTTAATGGGCTGTAACATAATAATAGAAACTGACCCAATATGGGAATGGGGTGTGTTTTACAGATAAGCTTTGACTTGATAAAAATATCTAATTTGGTTATACCAAGAGTTCGTGTTACAGCATTTTAACATTCTCTTGGTTGTGAAAATATGTTTTGCAATGAAAAACCTAAAAAAGAGGCATTGGATAAACAAATCTAGAAGTTGTAAAAATAAAATTATATTAAATTATGTTAAATGTTTTGGAGATATCATTTTTAGGGAGCACAGCACAACGATTTGAAATCATCAATGTATGATCATGTTCAATAACAGGACAAGAAAATTTGAGAAAAATCTTGCATGTAACAATCTAGATAAGGCAATTCATTTAAAGGTACAAAGAAGAAGAAACTTTGATTTCAACAAAAGTAATATGATTAAACAAATTAGTTTACAGATCTTTTTTAACATTTTAATCAACGAAGCTAGCAAGGTACTCATAATCAGCTCAATATCATGTGATTTTTGTGGGGAAATGTTTTAGAATAATTTACCATTACACGTTTAATGATTAAAGCTAGTTAGGATATCACTCAAAGAGATACATTTGACACATTTGAAACTTTTGAAACTTAGAACTTAGAAGTACTTGTCAATGCAATAGTGTTCACGGTTTTGGAGAAGTAGAAATTTGATGATGTGGATGTTATAATCATTATCATTACCTCTTTGAAGAAGATTACCATTTAGCTCATGAAAATAGCAATTTTTAAAGATGTTTAAGCTTTTGCTAACACCAAAATAAAGCTCTTTGAAAATTATATAAAAGTATTGTATTTGTTAACACTTAACAACTCCAAACAAAATTATAAAGAATAGAGGCCGTTAAGCCAAATATTAAAATTTTGTTTTTAAAAAAGTTAGTTTTTAATAAGAATTGAACTAGTTTTTAAGAATTAAGCCAAACAAACAAAGTTGTACTTAGGGTTTTGCACATTTGGACATTCAAACTAGCTTTGGCTGCTTTGTGACTTAGAGGTTTACAAAGATATGAGTTTGGACGGTTGGTTTATGAAGAATCTGTTGTGACTACTGTTTGTGCTGTGAATGTTTGAGAAGTCAAACAGTGAGACATTAATATTTATAAAATAAAGAAAAAACTATTGGTTTTGCTCTACATGGATTGCTGATGAAGTGCATAAAATTTTACCTTCTGATGCATAATCCTTTAGGACTAGTTCCATGCCTCGATGATGCTCTCGTAATTGATTGAGTTGAATAATTATCTTTGTTGTTGACGCTTTTGTAGTTGTTGTTTGAAATTACTTATTCTCTCTTTATCATCTTTGTGATACGTTTTTATTACAGTTTTTACTTGATGAGTTTCTCATATGTTTTTAATATAAGAGAGATTAATGAGATGGATAATATAATTGTGTTATTTGCTATCTTTCTTTAGAACTTTACTATATCAAAAATCATTAATGGAAGTATATCTTTGAAACTACACTATACCGAAAAATATTAATGTAGTTTTGACCAAAAAAGATTTTAATACTTTCTAATTTTAATACCAAATAAATAATGAACTTACATTTAGAATTTTTTAACGGATTATATTTGATAGTGTAAATATTTTTAGTTTTTAAATTATTATTTAATATTGTTTTATATAAAAAACAAAGCAAATACAAAAAGGATGAAGGAAAAATATTTTCTTTACTCCCTTCTTTTTTTTTTCATAAAATTTAAAAATTTTATTTTTATATTTAACTATTTTGAAATATTAGTAAAAAAATTACAAAAAGAAAATACGATTACTCGCCCGTTTTATTCACGAAAATTCAACATAAGGAAGTTTGATTTTTCAGACATCCAAAATTATTTTTTTATACGGATTAATCCGGTTTTTTTAATATTTTTTTAAATATATTATAAATATTAAAACTTTTAAAAGCTTCAAACATTATAATATTTAATTTAAGCTTATAGAATATTAAAAATATTAAAAAATAAAAATATTAAAATCTACCAAAAATAAAGTATTATTAGTATTTGAATTCTAAAAAAACTTAAAATATAATAATATTGTACATAAATATGATTGAACGGGTTTGAGTTTACATAAATATGATCATATTTAACTTAAAATATAAACTTTTTATATAAATACAATCGTCGTGCGGTATACCGCGGGTTAAAACCTAGTTTTTTTATTTATTTATATGAAAGTTTTTATGTATTGACATTTAGTTTTATTCCAAGGTGAAGTTAGAATATTAAGAAAATTGTATATCATTACCATTTATTTAATTTAATTTAGTCACAATAGTTGACGTGATAAATATTATAAACTGATGTAATAGTAATACATTTAGTTTCATTCCAAGATGCAATCACAACATTTAGATTGTTTAATCATTTATTTAATTTAATCTTTTCCCATTGCTTTTTTCCCTTAACAAATACACTTTTTGTTCATCCAATGCTACAACTATGGCTTTATGACTATTATTACTCAGTGGGAACATAACTCAAAAGAGTTTGACGTATCCACAAAAACAAAAGCTTTATGAGAGCTTTGACAAATTCTCCGGTCATGTTTTGTTAGCTGACAAATACACTCTGCGTTTAAAATATATGAGTCAAACATAAATGTAAAGCATGACTAGAAGAATCTCAAAGAATAGACAACAACAACAACATCCTAGTTTTCAATTTTACACTTTCACAATCAAAAACCTCTTTATGTACACCAAAATCTTTAGAGAGTCAAGAAAAATACTCTCAAGCACTCAAAAACTCAAATTTTGTAACAACAAAACAAGAAAATAAGAATTTCAGGTTCCCTTTTTTTGTGTTTGTATGTATACTAATCACAACAAATAGGACATCTAATAAGACCATTCTCATTACAATCAGGACATGTTTGAAACCCATACTCTCTTCCTTCCTTTACACTTTCCTCATCTTCTTCTTCGTCGTCGTCGTCCTCTTCTTCGTCTTCGTATTCATAGTACACTTTGCAGCTACCTGAACATGTCTCACAAGGCACAAACCTTACATCTCCACAAGCCTCACATTCTTGCCCATTACCATTTTTGTTTTCTTCCACCTTCTCGTATCCTTCAAGAAGCTTCTCTAGCTTCCCGTCTTCATTCAACTTTCGAATCTCCTCTGCTCCACCAAGATACTTCCTCCCCAAGAAAACTCTAGGTAAAGTAATCCCAAAGCCATTGTTGAACTTATCCCCTAGCAGCTCCTTCAACTCCTCCTTGAAACCCGAATGCATCGATACATCACGCTCATCCACTCTAATCCCAAGACTTTTCAGTATAGTCCGGACATTACAGCTTTCTTCATATGTCTTTCTTATACCTCTAAGGCTTGTGAAGTAAAGTATCACTCTCTCTTTACCACCAACATATTCTCTTGTTTCATCCAAAGACTCCTCCTTTTCCTCAATAGAGAAATCGAAATTAGGACGCAATCTGAAGTCATGACCCGAAATGTGAAACGGATGATCAGTAGGAAGTTCTTGAAGCGATTTCCTAAACGAAGAAATGATCTCAGGATCAAAATCTTCAAACCCTTCTCCATCCTCCATTTGAAGCCAAAGCGGCTTACCATTACCATTACCATTACCATTCGACTTAGCTCGTTCGCAATCACCATTACGAGAAACATCAAACGAAAAGCTCTTCACATGATTAGGTGATCGTAAAGGACTAACATTGTCTTCAAGCCCATCCATCATCTCCCATGTATTAATCGTTTCAGGCTCTCCCGGAGGCGTCTCAATAGGAGTTTTAGGCACAATCTTTGGGATCTTCGCATTCATCATACTTGACCATACCTTTGCTTCCATAAGCTTAGCCTGCATTTCCAAATTCACTTTCTCCTTATCAGACTTCTCTCTGACCACATTTGGACCAAACCCATTTGCAGATTCGTCGGAAACAAGCTTCTCGCTGAACTCTGACAAGTGTTTGTGGTTATGCCCAAAAGAAGAATCACATAGCTTGAGAGATCCAAGGCTAGATGAACTTAGAGCTACCATGTGACAGCTATCTTCAGAGTTTTGCGATTGGTGATGCACTGATTGGCTTCTGGGCACGTCGGCCTGAGAATATCCTCGCCGGCAATGAGCACAACGCTTGCTACGATGCTTTGAACTCGCACAACCCATAACAACTAATCTCAATCAAAAGCTCAAAAGGGTATGGAAAAAAATAAGAAAAGGTTTGTTTTTTATATATTTGGGGAATAAAAGTTGGATTTAGAGACAAGGATTTTGTGAAATCGAGATGAGTTATGTCGAGATTTGTGAAAAATAATAGCTGGAAAAACTAAAAGATAAATCTGAAATGAACAATTCAGATATAAAAATCAAATCTTTTTCTGGATTTGAAGATCAATCACAATACATAAAAACAGAGCCTAGAACAGAGGACAAAAACAGAGGATGGAGCAAAACAGAGCATAGAACAGAGACCAAAACAGAGGATTCTGATGAGATTCTAAGAACAAAGGATTTAACAAAGAGAAGACAAAGACATGGTCATCATGAACATCGTCTGGTTTTAACAAAGTCTCTCTCTCTCTTTTTAAAAAGGTTGAAGAGAAGAAGAAGAATGTCAAAGTTTTGATTTTTAGTATAAAAGTCTCTTTTTTGTGAAGGTTACAATTTGGTAATTCTCTGAATTTTGACTCTTTCTAGTCCATCTTTTGAAGGTACGTGATGGCGCGTGATAAACACGCTCCTTTTTTTTCAAGATAAAAAGCTTTTTTTGATTGCTTAAATTAGGAATGATATCTACCAATTATCTTTTCTTTAATTCCATTTCTGCAAGAAAATAAAAAGTGTTAAAAAATAAAAATAAAAGTTTTTTTTAATAATTAATTTGAAGTTACATTTTTATTTGATTTTTTAGGAATTCTTTTTCTATCTACTAAGTTTTTGATATTTATTAATGGTTGGTATATCATTTCAAAATTTTATTTAAATTGTTGGTGAGTTTTGAAGATCACCACAGATTATTTTTATATTATTTTTAATAAAAAATCAATATTCTTATATATATTAAGGGGATAAAGATGATTTGATAGAAATTAATCAAATTTTTGTAATTAAAATATACAATAAATAGCAAGAGAATTGTTTTGACTAGTATATAGAAGTATATAAAATAAGTTCCATAACTGGTCTGCTAATATAAAGAAAATTTATTTCTATATAATATAGATAATTTTATTAATCATTTATTTTCATTCAACATTATCACATTATTGTGGACTTTGGATATTATACAAAAGAAACTATAGTAAGGTTTAAAACATTATCTATTAAAGAAGTACTTAACAACCGTAGCCATAATTAATATGCATAACTAAATTTATTTTCACCAAATATATTAGCCTCAATTATTAATAATTTTGTTTATGGATATTCATATTTTCCAAAAATGTAGTTTGACTTATCACAAACATAATTACTTACCAAAATTGTAAGAAAAGTTTGACTTAGCATAGTATATCTAAATAGATTTATTACAAGACTAGATTTTGTCCTGTAGTATACTGGGACAAACATTTAATTTTTAATTTAGATTTTCTAAAACATACAGATTTTGTCAAAATTTATGTAATAACTATTAAGATAATATAATATCAAACTTGCTAAATCATTTTATTATACATGTCCTCATTTTACCCATGCTAAAGTATGATATGAATGATATTTTAAATTTTTATTAATATCAATTCAAACCCATCTCGTCTTAAAATTTGTCTCGTCTTACAACCCGTTCCATCATATAATCCATTGGAAACATATCACAACTCTTTTTGTCATATAATCTTTTTTTTGTCAACAAAAACTACAATCGACTGATTAGAGCCAAAAAGAGGGACCTAAGCAAACTTGTTTAAATCTGTGTGGACAGGAGCGAGTTTTGCGCGGCAAAGAATCTGTCATACCATTCAAGCTGCGTGGAATGAGAGAGAGAAAGAGAAAATGTTGAGAATTTTTTTTGTTATATAATCGTTAAAATTAAACCCATGTTTAAAAATAGTAAGGTCAATAATATTTCAGTTTAAACTTGTGTAGAGTTAAAATAATAATAACACTTAAACTTTTAATATTTTAAACTTTATATACATATATATGTAATTAATAACTCTATACGTCTTAAAATCCGTCCTGTCTTACAATCATGTATCGTCGTATAATCACTGAAAATTTAAATCAAACCATGTTTAAAATATGGCATACGTTAGTAGAGTTAAAATATTAATAACACTTAAACTTTTTAAAAGTTCTAAAATATTTATAAATACCTAAAGCTTTATAATAGTAATAATACTTCCTACTTTTTAGTGAGTTTCAAAGTTTAGAATATTTTAAAAAATCTATAAAAAATATATATTTATAATATATGAACCTTCTTAAAACTTTACATATATTATAATTGGTTTTTTAAACTTTAGAAAATTTTATTTTTTTTCAAATAAAATACAGGATTAAACCAAATAAAACTTTTAAATTTAGACGCATATAAATTCAAGCTTCATGCGCGCTCTTTCGTAACTGGAAGCATATAGTCTTCTTTATAAAAGTTATGAACCATTGTCAAAAATATTGTTTACCCGATATGGGACGTTAAACATATGCAAATTTGTTTTTTAATATACATCCGTTTAAAAAAATTCAAATTGCAACATATGCAAAAAATAATTTATATTTTTTTATAAATATGTTTTATGTAATAAAATAAATTAAAAAAATAAGATCATATAAATATATTGGAAAAATATTTGAGTGAAATAAACTAAAAACAAGAAAATAATATTTTGTATTTATTATGGAGAGATTTTAAGAATTTTGTTAATAATATTTTATATTTTGAAAAAATAATTAATGCAAATGGCATGCCATGGTAAATAAGTTTGAACCCAAAAGGTTTTATCTAAAAGTGCTGCAAAACTGTTAATATAGATTGGCATAAACTAAAATTTGACATATGTACCTAAAATTAAATTACTTTAGATTTAGGGTTTTGCCTGGTATTAAAACTTTGACATTTGTTTTTCAAACTTTATTAAGTCATTTATATGGCTAGTCTAACATAACTAATACACATAAACCAAATATTTAAGAATCATATATGTACCGTAATTTTTAATAAAATAATTTATTTTTGTTTTGTTAACAAGATAAATTTGACTGTCACAAACATAAGAATCATATATTTATTCATTCATAATTTGTTTTGTTAATCATTTTTTTTTGTAACATGAAAAATTTGACTTATCACAAACGTAATTACTTATCAATAAAGTGAAGAAAATTTTGACTGATCCAAATAGCACCATTATGACACTCGCATAAACTGTAGTTTGGCTTATCACAAATAAAATAATTTAAATTTATAGTTTGATTGATTTAAATGCATAAGTTAGTAATTTTGGTTGCATGTGTTATTAAGTGATATTTAATATGCGTATTAATCATAATATAACCTTTTTGTATCTACTGTATGTACTATTCATATTATTCCCAAAATATGATTTGTAAGAAAAACTTTAACTTATCACAAATCCAAATAGCATAGTTACGGCATTGGCATAAATTACTAAATTGATTTAGATCCAAATCCAAATAACTAACTGATATTAATTACTAAATTGTTTTCGTGATCCTTTTTTTTTTTTTCGTGATCTTTCCACTAATTCCAAACTTGCAACTCGATGTACAATTCAAACATGACGGAAAATATATTTATAAGTAGTATATATATGGTTTGACTGATTAAAAAATATAAAAGTGATACTTAGGGTTTGATATTTAAAAACACATAGAGGAGGTCCATAATGTCAAAAGTGTTACGTATGGATATAAATTAATATGCTATTTGAGAGTTATAGAACATAGGAGCATGTGCTAGTGTTATGTAGTTGAGTTAATATCACCAACTACTTTTTCTTATTAGATTAGTTACCGATGGTAAGAAAAAAAAAAAACGTAGTCATGAAATTACATATAAAGTAAATAAATATTACAATCATCAATTTTATATCTAAGAAAATTAGGATTTACAACAAACGATGGTCAATTTATTAATCTTCTTACTAATATCAAAAACCGAAAACTATAATTAGAATTATAGGTTTCTAAAAAAGTATTATTAAAGATAAAAACGTCAAATGCTATTTTTTAAAATTTGAATAGTTTTTAAAAAACAAAAATGCTTTAATACTTTGCAAAAATATTGTAAAAACAAATCCCACATCCAATATGGAGGTAAATGATAGTCTAAAACCATACTATAGAAAGTAACTATTAAGAAGATAATATATAAATGTGTTTTTATTTGTTATTTATATAGATGTTATTCAAAACAACTAAATCAATTTAGGTGTAGTTTTAATATGTATATTTTACACTTCCATTGGAGTTTGTTAGTATAAGGCCATGAATGGTTGTGGGTTTTTAAATGGTTTTAGATTATTCTTTTTGGTTTTTAGATTTTGGTTTTTAATTTTTAAGTTTTTAGTTTTTGCGCTAGATATATTTTTGGTTGTTTTATATTTTATTTATAATAGAGAAAAGGAATAGGAGAAGTGTTGTCAGTATTTTTCTTAAAATCTCAAATATGTGGATTTTAATTTCTATTAAAAATTGTTAAGAAAACTTAAAACTAATTTTTCTATTATTTAAGGAATCTATACAGTTTAAAATCTTGAATGGAGAAAAATTGGGTTATTGAAAAATAAAATCCAAAATTTATTATAGAATCCAACATCTGTCTTAGTAATTTTTCTGACTTTTATAGGACTCTGTGATGCGAAGTAACACAATTAGTTTCAATGCTAATGATTAGTCCAATTATATTATAATAGTTATTTAAAAAAAAATCAGTGAACATGCAAACTATAGAGCACAAAGCCGTGAACTAAAGTATCAAAGAGAATTGCATGTTTAAGAAAAAAAAAGTAACCAATAGAAATGATAAAACTATTAAAATTAGCAAAATCACTTTCCACTAATTTTGTCGAGTTTCAAATCGCTATCAAACATAGATGTAAATCCAAATTTTAGCCTCAATTTCAGGATTAAGGCATATTATGTGTAGTAATCTTCAATTCAAATATATTTATGCAGATATATAAAAGACAACGACAACAAATTATAAATATATAACTAATAATGTGTAGTTTGACACTAACTTTGACTTTAACTCAGCACAAAAGCCGACTATTTAATGCGATCTTATTCTTAATGCCATTTAAGTTGATATAGCATTTTCTAAATAATTAAGTTCTAGTAGTATAAATTAAGCAATTCTTAATGCATGAATACAAGTTGTTAACTGATAGGTAAAATAGTAACCCTTTACAAAAACAAAATTGATTGCTCGAAATAGTTAACAATTTTTTTCTTTCAAAGTTATATATGTTACCTTCCAATATATATTACTGATACATTTAATTCGGCTTACGACGAATACAAACTTATTCACATTGGACATTTAATATTGTACAATCAAACTTCCTAACATAAAAAAACATCTTCGTCTTATGTGTAAAATCAATGTTTTAAAACCCGATTCGAAAGGTGAACCGGACTACCTTCAGAGTCATCGGGTCATCAAGTGACCGGTTTCAACCACAAGTCAATTATTGAAAATTTATTTATTACAGTTATATATTATATAGTTTTATGAATTTATATTGTCCGGGTCACTGGTTAACCGATCGTAAAAACACTGTGTGAAATTCATATAGTTAACTCTAAGTTTGGGGTTTAATCCGGCCGATAACACGATTACAACAGTAGTACAAATAATTTGGACATGTAAATACATTTTAAGTATCTTCAATTATTTGAGATTACAATACTTTCAGGACCAACAAATGTATAGTTTAATGGTAAGCCTTATACATCAAATTAAGTGTAAGATCATGAATATAGACAAAAGATAATAATAATATGTAGTATCAAATTAATATTACCCAAAAATGAGGAATATGGAAGGAAGAAACAAGAAGTGAGGAGTTGGGTTAGTAAGTGGCTTCATGCAGGGATTGTAAATGTTGGTCTCCTGTCTTGTTTTTGTGTTGCCGTTTCGAGACAAGAATTAGATGTCCTCCACTAAACCCTTGTTTTATGAAACTTATCTTAATCCACACTTAGGATTATTTAGCCATTTTAATATGAACCTGAGTTTTATAGTATTCTTTAAGGGTTGTTTGATATTATTATTTTAGATATAGAAGTAGAGTTTGACAAACATATAGAAGTTATTAGTTTAAGCTGTTAAAGTTAGATTCAAATTTCCACGCCGTCTTCATTGATCATGAATCATTGGTGACTAATCAGAAAATCACATTCATATAAATACTAATAAATATATGTAACATGAAATTCTGGAATTAACGTACAATAATTTTTGAGTGTACTACTAAATACATCGCTGGATTTCTATATATTTGACAAACAAAAAGTTTCATTCAAACAAAAACTAAAAAGAGTGAAGTTCATACAATTATACAGAAAACTAAAAAAAATTCAATGAGAATAAAAATAAGGATTCTATGAGTTTTCCAAAGGGATATTCAATTTTGAGAAGCTTGCAATGTTTGGAAAAACTTTTGGGACTAAAGCGGATTCGACTTTGAAGATAGGCTTCGCAAAATCCTCGACCATCGCTAGGTTTATATATATACACTTCAGTTTTAATTGGTGTATGAGGAGACTTGGCAGCTGATTCCTCTATAATGTTTTTTAAAAATATGTTATATCTACTGATCATTTAAACCTTGTATAAAAATAAATCTAGAATTAACTCTAGAACAGCTTGTATTTCAACACATCCGAAAGAATCGTTTTTATATCTTAAATTCTATTTTGGGCCTTGTCATCAAGCATATTAGCCTTTGGACCTAAGCCTAAAACGTAACCTCTTAAGTATTTCTTTAAACTATGAAGATTTCAAGATGACACAATCGATCGACAAGTTCATAGAGCATTTGTTTGAATATGTGTCTCAAACTTGATTCATGTAAATGCAAAAAGAGATACACATCAAACAGTCAGGAAAAAAAACACATTTGATCAAAACAAAAAAAAGATTTAATGGTTATTTGTTCAATGCATGGAACAACTATAGAAAATGTTACTTAATTAAAATAAAACATATCATATATCATCAAAAAACAGGCTTTAAATAGAGCCAAACATTTCTACAGCTCACTGCTTTAATATCTTTAGCAGGGCCATCTTCTTATTTAAATAGTATTAATACGTTTATAAATATATATAGATATATATATATATGCTAGGTCGACCATTCTCTAGTTAGAGCCAGCAGTGGTTACGCCTTGTTGGGTTTGGGATGATATGGTCTGTCTAGACTGGGTTGCCTTACCAGAATGTTGAAAGTTCACAGAACCTTTAATGGTTGTACCACCATTAGGACAATCATTTTTGGGGCTGGTGCAACCACTAGTTGGACTATCAGTAGTTGGGGTATCAGTAGTGGGGGTATCTTCACTTGGAGCACTTCCAGTGGTCGTAGAGTCTCCTCCAGTTGTGGTACTAGTGCCTTGAGTTTTGGTAGTGCCTCCGGTGGAAGTGTTTTCAGTACTGGTAGTGGAATCTTGAGACTCGGTCGTCTCGCTCGAATCAATGCCATCAAGTCCTATGGATGACATATCAATTTTGCTTCCGCTCTTTGCTGCGGTAGTCACAACGAATTGACCAATTGTTTTAGCCCATTGTGCCATAGACATGATCAACTCTTTCCTTTGTGTGAGCGACATTGTTGTAGTGCTCTCTTGCTGATGGCCCAAAGTCTTACCCATTGACAATAATGTTTCCATAACCTTGTTGGAATCATCCTGGTTACAAAATTATAAAACAACACATTACTAAACTATACGAACATCTTTGGTTATATACATTTTAAAGATTTATATGAACCAAGTGCTAATAGCTCAATTCGTAAAAATCTCTGGCAAAAAGCTTAGAGGTCGCCGGTTCGAATAGCGTTTAGGACAAGACCATATAACATGCTTTGGTCTCGGGCCTGAAGTAATGTATGTGTTTCGCCCCAGAACCTCTTAGTTATTAAAAAAAAGATTTATATGAAGTTTTACCGATGAGCCGCTTTTGCCATTCATTGAGGAAATAGCTGACAAGAGGCCCTGGGCTTTCCCTTTCAGTTCGGAGTCATAGTTTTTCGACCCGGACGCCGAGTTTATGAATTTCACGTAAGACCTTAGGTTACCGAAGAAGCTCTTGTACCGTGGCTTCAATGGACACCTAAGCTCCAAAAGGTTCACGAACTTCAACATACCTCTACAAGCGAATGGTCGAAAGTCTCTGTTCCTTCTGGACATTTTTCTTAAGTAATGCCTCAATAAGAAGGTACCTTGCACTTCGTATACCTCACTTAATGCTACTAGTAACAAAAGACCTAATACTAATGAAATTCTTGCCATTTTTTTAGTTTTTTTTTCCTTTATTACTTTTTTTATATGTTTATGTTTTTTTTTTTGGTTTTCTTTTTTTATTGGGATTTAAGTTCCTTTGAGAATCGGTTTATATATATGCTTAAAATGTCTAAATTTAGATAGATATATAAGAGAAAACTGTGGATCCATTTGTGGTTGCAAGAGACTAGCAAAATTTCTTGGTTGTTTTTTTTTTCTTATTCAATTTCTATTTGGTCGGCAATTATTGCTCTCCGAGTTTTAATCTTTGTCATCTTATTCTGGAAAGGATACTTTTTCTGGTCAAAGAATATGAACTTACTAGGTTCTAAGTATAGGGTAATTAATGTTTTAATCATATAAGTAGAAATTTTAAAAATAGATGATGCTTGTAAGAAAAAAAAAGCATAATTAAGTAGGAGAAGTACTGTTCTACGTTAGATATAACATTTAACTATATGAGTGATGAATCAATAAAATTATAAATCATGAAATAACATTGATATTTTAAAAAATTAGTATACTTTTACTCTTTTAGTTAAGAAGTGCATTTAATATAGTAATTAAGATGACATTTATATTTTGTATTCTTTCATCAATTATAGAAGGTAAAATTTTTTAAATACTTAACTATAGAAATACTATTTTATTTCTAATTCTGATTATAGTGAAGTATTCATTTGCATAATTTGATAATAACAAATTTTTAACGAAATATTCAGGTATATTTTAATAATATATGAATTTCCATTTAACCAAATATGATATAAAATTGAGAAGATCTGATTGTATGATATTTTTTCAAAATATATCTTCAATACAAATATAATTTCTTAAATAATGTTTATTTTTTTATATGCAATATATGGCATATCCAGTAATAAACTACATATTTAGTTGACAAACAAAAAACGACATATTCAAAGTTAAAGTCTTATAGGTACTTATAATATATATTTATAATGCATGTAAAATTTTAATATATATATTTTTCGTATTTTTCTTTTTCAAAATTTTCTGTTAATTCTCAATCTCTACTTTGTACTCCCACATGTATCAAATGTATTAGAGAAAATGTTAACATATAAAAAGAGAAGAAAGTTAAATTCAAAATCCCTTTCATGGGTATATCACTCACTTTTGTATGTTACCATACAATGGGGTTACAGTCTATATGCTTTTTTTTTTACAAAGTTTTGACTTGTACACATCGGTTTATACCGATTTTTAGTTTTATTTACAGTAAACAAAAAAAAATGATCTAATAGTAATTAGCTACATATTGTAATATTTTGGCATTAGTATTGGTTTTCTCTTTCTTGGTGATCTTTTGGCGCATTAATGCAACTTGTAGCCTTTTGAACTTAGTTGGTTTTGATCATCCTTGCACTGCCTTGCTGCTGAGAAGCAGAAGAAGATGAGGATGAAGATGAGCTTGAAGAAGCAGCAGTCTCAACAAACTGGGTGGTGACTTTTTCCCACTTTGTGATTGTTTGCTTGAGCTCTGACTGTTGTGTTGATGACACTGTCTTGCCACTCAAGATTTTGCTGTTGATGTCTTGTATTTGTTTGAGACACTTGATCATTTCATCTTTGCTTGTTTCCATGTTGCTCTTCATCTATTATACCATAAATAAAATAGTTATGAATTAATGTTAAATCTTTATCAACCGGAATGATCATATATAGTTAGAGTTTGAATTTACACACCTTTGCTGATTTGACATTCTTTGAACCAACTAAAGCCATGGCTTCAGTTAGTTTACTGGTGGCTGCTGATGTGGCAGAGACATAGTCCTTTGAGGTTTTGGAAGCAATGCTTGAGGAAGCTTGCATAGAAGCCTTCAATTTCTCGAAGAAAATCTTGAATTCCGCCCTTGCGGAATACTTCTTCTCGAGTTGCATTATGAATGACATTACTTCTTTGGAAGTCTCACTTTCAACTTGTTTCACTGATATCTTGTATGAGCTCTTAAATGAACTTTGTCTTGATGATTGGCTTTTCCTTTCGCTTGATCTCTGTGATGCTGTATTAGTCGAAAAGCTACTTTTCCCACTTAGGCCTCCTGCAGCATTTGTGTTCTCTTTAGCACTTGCACTTCCCTTCAAAGTGGCTTTACCACCAGCAGATCCTGAATCAGAAGGCTTAGCCTTGGGACTTCCACTTGGACTGCCTGAATTTTTAGCTTTAGTGTCTTTGTTAGCTCCACCAGAACTTCCACCATTGCTGGATACTTTTGTCTTGGTAGAAACACTTCCACTACTACCGGTAGAAACAGCTCCAGCTTTAGTTGATGAGGATGTCCTACTTTCGGTTGTTCCAACAATAGAACTGTCATTAACATCGACATCAAGGCCATATGACGCTATATTGATGGTCTTTCCTTTCTTCTCGGAGGCCGACTTCACGAATGTAGCGAGCATTTTAGTCCATTTCACCATAGAAATGATCAACTCTTTCTTTTGCTTCAATGTCATTATCTTTGTATTCTTCTTCTGCTCAACCAAAGTTTTCCCCATTGACAACATGGTAGCTTTTAGACCACCAGCATCCGCCTGTCCATAACAAACAACAATTATTACAAAACATAAAAAAAAATCTTTAAAACTTATATGAATAGAATGGTATAGGACTTACTGATTTTGTGCCTTTACCACTGCTCATCGCAGACATAGCTTTGAATAGTCCATCACATTTGGATGTCATCTCGGCGTCAATGTTTTTCGTTGAGGTTGACGCAGTTTCGATGAAGGACATGTAAGATTTGAACTGTGTAAAGAAGTTCTTGAACTCCGCGGTTGCGGGACAATTATCTTCAAGGTTGGTCACAAACGTCAACATACCTTTGTTAGCAAAAGGCGTAAACTCGTTACATTTTCTTGGGAAGTTCTTCTTCAAGTAAAGTTTTAATAAGAACGTTCCTTGCGCTTCATAGATCACACTTGATGCTATTACTAACATTAGACATATCCCTAATGAAATTTTTGCCATTTTGTTTTTGTTTTTTTTTGTTTTTTTTTTTTTCTCCTTTTGGATGATTTAGTTTGTAGAAGAATTTTGGTTTATATAGATGATTAGATATTCTATTTTTAAAGTGACTAAGAGAAAATGGTGGATTGATTTAAGGTTGCAATAAAATAGCTAAAGATGTTCTCATATTATTTCCTCTTTTTAAAAAAAAGTTTAGAGGTTCTCATGTGTCCACTCTCTATTTTGACGACAATTTCTATTACAGTGATCTATATTTAGATTGATCAAACTTATAGCGTATTGACTTGTATCAAATTTGTGAGACAATCTTTTAAGACCTTTATGAATATTCATCTTTTTTTTTTTCTTTCTTTTTTGAGCTAAGATTTTATGAACATTCATCTAATTATGTAATTGACAATATAACCGGTTTTGCATACCTTATGATGTTTTACCAATTTCTTTGGTTTCTGGTCTAGGTACTAGCTACATAACTGACTATGTATATGGTCTTGATCTAGCTCTAGTGTGCTAGTGCTCTTACCCGATTCAAGTGTTGTATGAGTTAACTCGTATTCATATTTTACTTGATTTTATCATCACACATTCGATTAGTGAAAAGCCATCTTTCGATACTTTTGATATAAAAACATGTAAAGCTAATGTTAATTTTAAAGTCATGTCAAGCAAATAAGATCATGTAAAGCTAATGTAAAGCTAATGTTAATTTTAAAGTCATGTAAAGCTAATGTTAATTTAAAAGTCATGTCAAGCAATTTATTTAAAGCATATTATCACAACCTTGCAAATAAGATCTCAAACTGTAATTAAAAGAAATATATATATTGAAGGAGAAAAATTCATATACATTTCCTGAATAAAGTTTCATGGTTTCAAACTATTTCAATTATTCTTTATTCCTTAAGTCAAAATAAAATAAAATAATTAAACAGTATGTGAAGAAGTGAATAGAATATATGTATACGTGAGTCACTTTAGAGGACCATCAACATTAAATCTGATGCTTAGTTTCATTTGGAAGATGTTTATATCATCTATTCATCTTCAAGATGTTTTCAAAGCATTGCACAATGATACATATTCTTGAATCCGTTAAAAGTTATTTTGTAAAGTCTTTTTATGGTCTAAAACATAGATGGTAAAATATCAAAAGGGTTGAAAATGGTTTCTAATTAATTTAATTTTTAAAGAGACAAAAATATCAAAAAAAGATTCATTGAGTGAGCTCACTCACTTCTATCTGTTTGTTACATAGACTCGGTCGATAGATCTATTGATGGCCTATACCAGTCTTGGTTTTATTTACAACAAAAATGAATTTTTAGCTAGTAATAATAAACATAAGGCTTGTAATTAATGATGTCTTTTAAGTTTAGTTTGAAGTCATTTTTCCGACAGAAGATGAAGTAGATGAAGAAGATTGTGTCTCGCTCTGAACAGCAGTCTCGACGAATTGGGTGGTGACTTGTTCCCATTTGGTGATAGTTTGCTTAATCTGTGTTTGCTGTGCTGGTGTGCATGTCAAAGAACCTTCTTTCTTGCCTTTGTTCTGACTCACAATTTGGCTGTGGATGGTTTCTAACTCTTGGAGAGTCTTCATCACTTCTCCTTGGTAAGCTTCCATGGACTTCTTCACCTGTTAACATAACCACAAGAAAAATAAAACATTATGAAAATGGAATTTGATATTGTGAATTAGATAAGGACAATGTCTTGTTTTGTACCTCAGCTGATTTGCTTCCAATTCTTGACCGGATAAATGCCATGGCACCGGATACTTTCCCGGCAGCAGATTTAAGTCTAGAAAACAAACCTTTTCTTTCTTTTGGGGGAGCAACCATTGTACCCTTTAGTTGCTCGAAGAAGGCTTTGTATTCTTCCTTCTGTGGACACTTCTTTTCGAGGTTCATAATGAATGTCGACACTTGTTTGGAAGTCTCGGCCTCAACTTCTT